ATTTATCTAATTTATGCAGCGTATAAATGGTATTTATGGAAACGTACCATAAAATCATTTGTTACAACAAGGATTACTAAAATGACACTTGGAATTACAAAGAACATTATTTCTAAAACAAAAACATTTTTTGTTGACACACTGGGTTTTACACGAACATTTTTTAAATCCCTGATCAGTACCTAATCTTTGAGCTGTAGCAAACGACCGGAGCGATATTTCTACATCCGGTACTTCTTCGATTTTAATTCATTTTTGTTCGCAGACACTGAACTGGGATCGGGAATATAATTGTTTTATGCGGCCGTTTCTTGAGCCCAATTGGAAAAATCCTTCTTCGGTTATGTTTATGATGATAGCTAAAATAGATAAATGCAGTAGGGAAGGTAAATGTATTTGTCATGCGAGATATATGATATAGATTATTTTACACTTTAACGGGCTGCAGATCGTTATTCTATGAAATAACTAGTTAAACCATGAAATACAAGAGAGTTTTACACTTTAACTGACATGATCAGTTATTTCACGGAATAACTAGGTATTCTATAAAATAACGGATTTCATACTTTAACGATAACACATACAATTATTTCATATTTATATCTGAATAATGAAAAAGAACCCCTACTTTCTTTCAAAAATATGCTGATTATATAATTCAACTACATTAACCAAGCTATTACGACCGAAATGTGATATTTCAAAATTTGTTTTTAGCCCTACCCTAACCTGGAGAGATGTTCAGCATCTGACTGTGCTAACTTCCAAGAGAAATTCCTTGTATGATAGCAAAGGCAGATTTCACTGGAACATGAATGGAGTTGGTCTTGAATTCAACCACTTATTTGGATTTGGTGTTCTGGATGCTGGAGCAATGGTCGCATTAGCCAAAATTTGGAAAACTGTTCCAGCTAGATATCACTGTGAAGCTGGAGCAATAAAAACACCTCAGTAAGTATACTCTTTTAATCTAAGTTTATAATACTTGTGTTCTCTGTTAATAATAATGACTAATAACTTCTACACGACATTAAAAAGTTTGCATCGTCAACAGTTTTTTTCTTCTTTTTTTTTTAAATATATCTTAATTATACATCTTGATTTATTTTGCTTTAAACCTGGGATATGAAATAAAATTTTTCACATGTACCTTACAGCATTAAAATAAGATTTGAATTCAATAAAAATATAAAGCCTAATTTATATATTGTGTGATTTGTGAGCAACTGATAATAAATAAAGTTTGAAATGCACTTTTTCTTTTATTTATAATTAGACCCGTATAATATACACAAAGGCTGTTCGTGAAAAATTTGTCAACATTACGAAAAAATTTTTACTATTACTTTAAAAAAGAAAATATCCGCATCTTCAAAGTTTTTTTATTTATTTATTTTTTTAATGACGGGCACTTGGAACTATTGTCCATTGGCCACAGAAAGTGCCAGAACTGCTAACTCTCTTTTCGTTATCCAGTGGGCACCGGTGGTGAAGCCACGGCGCTGGAGCAGCGTCGCCCACGTCACACTACCACAACCCGTTTATAGGGCGGGTCACATTCACACACAATGGAGAAAGGACATAGAACACAGATAGAGAGAAAGAAACATCCATGCCTTGCCCGGGCTTCGATCCCAGAACTTTTCGGATGCAAGGACAGTTCCCTGCCCCCTACACAGACCGGTCGGCTGCATCTTCAAAGTAAATTTGTCTTTTTCAAATTCCCGAGAAAAAAAATTACTTTTTACACTTTTTCCTATAAATGCAAATGCAATTTAAAATTACATTTAACGATTTAAAATCACACATAGCGATTTAAGATATATAATCATGAAAATACGAAATACAATGCGCTATCAAACATTACGCTTTGAATTCACGCAATTTAAAAGCTGCTATTATGATATACATTCAAGTGATTTAAAAATTATACCTCGAAATTCGTATTCAGGTGATTTTCAAATCAAACATCGAGATTCGTGTAAACACGATTTTAAAATCAAACATCAAGATTCATGTTTAAGCCATTTTAAAATTAAATGTTGAGATTCGTATTCACATGATTTAAAAATCACACATTTAGATTCAAATTTATATATTTTATTAAAACTCTATTAATAAAATATGTAACTGTAATATATTAAAAACACTTTTAAGGTTCACTCCAGTTAGAGACACAGCGACAATTGTTGCTAAGTGTTCTACAAATGTAGTTGAAGTCAAATGCATGGGCCACAAATTTGTCACCTTGAAATTTTTTTGATACTTACAAAATATTAACAAAAAATAGTTTTTTTTGGATTGAATTCCATGCATTTAAAAAAAATTGTACTAATTTTATTGTTCTATGCGAGGTATGATATTCAAATGGAGTAACTAAAAGTGTCTGGTACAAATTTTTTTTTAATTAAATGCTGAAATTTCATATATACAAGTTGTGCTGTGCTTTGCATTCATGTACTGGCAGTATAATTGTTCATCAATAAAATAATATTTATTGCTCTTTTAGAATTAACTCAATTTAAAATTCTATAACTTTTAAATAATTAATTTTTAATATAATATTTTGTTAGTTCTTACTTTCTCTGTTTTCCTCATTTGTTTATTTATTTGGTCTCAGCATTTTAATATCTTTATTGAATCTATTTGTTAATATTATTTTACCTTTTGTCACTTTAATTTTAATAAATACTAATCTTTACTCATTATGGGGTAATGAACCTTAGGAGTTATAGAATAAATAATTTTTGATGTGTATCAAAACATGAATTATGAAATTTGATTTTTTTTTCCCTCAAGTTAGTGTACCATATTAAGCTTTTGGACTACTAAATTTTCATTGCTGATGTGAACTCTAAACATATTTTTAAAAAACTATGTGATTTTCAAACAAATTTCGCTAAAATGAAATGACGTCAAAAGGGTTGAAACTAGTTACGAAAATTCATCGATGCTTGAAGAAAATTTTCTAATTTAAAGTTTGTGTATGCTTAAAGTTTTCATTTTGTCTAAATCTGTTTATATCATGATTTATGTTATGTTTTTGTCATAATGTAATGCCCGAAGATGATTTAAAATTATTAAATTTAAGCTTAATTTATTGGAAAATTTGTAAGTAATACATATATTTAATTATCAACGAATTTTTGGTATTCCAATATCTTTGACTAAAAATTGGGATTTTTTTCTTTTTCCCCCCCAAAAAATTTAGTGAATGACTTCAAAATAATTGTATATTTTTATGTATTTTAGTACTTTTGAGCTTAAATATTATGCAAAAAGAACTTGAGTTAAAATTATTGTAAAACCAACTGTTGTGCATAAATTTATTCTAATAAAATTATTTGATTTAACAGCAAAATCTTGAACAATGCTAGCACTCAAATATATATTGACACTGATGCTTGCGCTGGAAAAGAAACAGAAGTAAATTACTTGGAGCATGTTCAAGCCATTATAACTCTAAATTCCACACGACGTGGAGATGTTACATTATTTTTAATATCACCAATGGGAACAAGGTACATTATGCAGATATTTTTACTTTGTATACATCTATTTTTTATTACTAATGTTTTAATATACTGAATTCTTCTATTTTAATTGTCTGAAAAATTTCTTTATTCATTAAAATAATTGATATTGTTTAATTATCTAGTATTTAATGGTGAAAAATGTTAAGTTTCTAACAAATTATCAAAGCTTTATCATACATCGTACATTAGTTGTCTTTCATTTTTAAAAAAAAAATTATAAACTGAGTAAGAGGTTGTCATTTTTATCTCAGTGTTGATAAAACTCAAAATGCTGCTTTTCTTATATTTATTATTATGATTTATGTTATTTTTTTAACGTTAATGTAATGCCTGTAGATTATTAAATATTATTAAATTTAAGTTTTAATTTGTTAGAAAATTTGTGAGTTAAACATATATTTTGTCCTTTAGATATTTATTAGGTATATTTATGATATATTCTTAAGATATGTATATTGGTTGTATGCAGTAATTGTAATTTGTTTTCATGTAAAAACTTTAATTTAGCGCCTCTATTTATGAATATAACAACCTATGTAAATATAACCTAAAACATATAACATCGAAAAATACAATTCACCTCCCATAGTAATCCTTTTAATTCAGAGTTATTCATTTCTATGATTGACTTTATTAATAATAATGGTTATTCTTTCATGTTTAGTTATGATTTTGTTGAAGTCAATTGCAATTATAATATCCTTTTCTAATTCTTAAGCAATTCCTTTTAATTTGTGCTTATAAATTTTTTATCTGATTAAGTATTAGTTTTTTATTTAAGTACTAATTTGATATTGTCAAGATTGTAAAAATTTTAAGTACAATATCTTGAAATAAATAGACCTTATTAAATTAGTCAATTAAATTGATTCAAAATTATTATTGTAATTAAGATATTATTAAATAATGTTTATTAAAAATCATCTTAATCCAATATAATTTTATTAAATGTTTAAAAAAAAAAATTTTACTTAGAACCATATTTTTTAAAAGCAAATTAGCAAAAAAAAATTGTTCATAAGCAATAAATTTAAATAGATTGTGTTTAAATATATTTCGATTTCAGTACATAATTTTAATTATCTCTATCAGTTGTAATATAGTTAAAATGCATTTATGTAATTTTTGTCAATTTTAATAAAATTACTCAATTTTATTTGTGAATTTTTAAAACAGCAATAAATAAAATTGTTGTTTGTTAACTTTTTAGGTCAATGATCCTAAATAAACGACCAAATGATGATGACCAGTATGATGGTTTCACAAAATGGCCATTTATGACAACACATACTTGGGGTGAAGGACCTAGAGGAAGGTGGACACTAGAAGTCAGGTTTGATGGCCAACTTCAACAGACAGGCTTTATAAGGGAGTGGACATTAATGGTACATGGGACTCGAGAAGCACCATATAGAGATTTACCAGTTGAAGATGATAATTCTAAACTTGCCATTGTAAAAAAGGCTCATGAAGTTGGTTACAAAATATAAAATGATTCCTCCTAGACTAATGTTGCCAGGTTTTTTAATATTGTTTACACATACAAATAATTATTTTGAATTTAAATATTTCATCCATTTCTCAAAAAAAAAATTTAAGTATAGAATATAAATAGGTTAAAATTATTTATTTCATAAGGAGTGTTACTGTTTTATCTACCTTCAATTGTTATTAAGCAGTTTCAAGTTTGTAAACTTATTTTAATAATTAAAATTATTTAATAACATTCTTTATTCTATGATTATGCCTTATAATAACAAGTTTATATATAGTAAAATTATTTAATTTAAAATTGCTGTTTATGTTACATTTAACCTTTTGAAGAATGCATTACCCAATCATTTATATTTACTTAAATCAAAACGTTTTGTGGAATTCTTAAAATAAAAATCAAAAATACTATGTTTGTAGATTTTTTAAGTTATATCAAATCCTAATACTGTATTTAAAAGGATTATGAAGAAATTGAAACTGTTTCATCATTAGTTCAATTGTCATTTCACATTCTCTTTTCTAATGCAACATATATTGTTTTGAAATAAACTGTAGGTCTTGTTATAAAAATGAATTTTTTAAAACTAGATGAAAATTATCAATTAAAATTAAATGGGGTTGCATCGTGAGTATTTAAGTAGATAATTGAAATTGTGATGACTTAAATACTTGTAAAAAAGAAAAAAAATTCTTTCTGTAAATGTAAAAAGAAAATTGAAGAAATATTTCTGTAAGCATTTTTACCCAAATATGTGAATGAATCACCCAAATATGAAAAAAGTCACATATTTATTAAGAAATATTTGTGTGATTTAGTTAGATACTCAAACCTGGCAACTTTAGTATTTATTTTCATTGGACCAGTAAATAATTTTTTTGAAAAACTGTTGATGCCTCGATCATTTTTATGTTGCTAATACTTTGCTTACAAGTTTATTTTAAAGAGAGTAACTTAACAATTTGCATTACAGCCATTATGAAAACAAATATAAAAAAATATGTATAAATTATTAATTACAGTTTTTGACCAAAACATGCAAATTATTAAATAATTTTCTGATAAACTGACAAATTATTTTTTATAATTTATTGAGAATCTGAATATTTTGTAAAGTTTTGCTAGTATTTAATAAAGTAGAACTCTTCTTCTCTCTTGCCATATAGGTTAACACCATTCATTGACTTGTGGGTTTTGAGACTGATATTTTTTTTTTCCTTTATATTTTACACACTATTGAAGTTATTTTCATTTTGTGATAAAATTTTAATCAGTATAATTTGAAACAGTTATGATACCGACACAATTTTATGCATTTCTAAAAATTGTTTTGCAATTTTTTTTTAAAATTATTTTAAACATTTATTTATATGTTTGAAATGAACTTAAATAAATGCTTAGCTGCACTATAATTTTACTTTAAGAAAAAAAATTATTAACAATCACTTTAAACCGTGATCTGTTTCGGTTTATGCAAATAAACTTTATTATTTTAGTCTTTTAGTGAATTTTGAAATATTAATCTTGTAAAAATTCGTTGTGGTTATAAAATGCTAGTATCAATTTCCAACTTGATTTTAAAAATAAGAAAGGTTTGATAATTTATGTGTAGTTAAAATATTCTTACTTGTCTATTTATTTATATTTCTACAATAAAATGCATAGATATAGACCCTTTTTCCTGTTAAGTAGATTAAAAATGAAGTGTTTATTTTTGACATAGAAATTCATTCATATTGACCTTTGGCAAAAATATTTTAATTAGTTCTCCTGTAATTAGATTCTATGCGTGTAATATTTTAGATTTGTTTTATATTAATTTATAAAGCTCAGCAATATATGCTTTTCCTATGAATAATTGTTCCTATTTAAATAAGTAATTCAGTATAAGAACACTGACTGTAAAATTTTCATAGCTATTGAAATGTTCATTGAATTTTACTTTTATTATTTAGTGTTTCTCAGTGACTTCTTTTAATTTGTAAAATATATGTTACTTAAATTTATGATTGATCATAATATTTTTTCTCTCTACTCCTCCAATTCAAAATAATAATTGTTTGTATTTAAACTTTTAATATATATTATGTATTTTGTTGACATTATTATTATTATTTTAAATGTGTAACTATTGAGTTGGAATATAGTTACTAATATAATTTTTAACCCTTTCATTTACTAAAACATTTCATTCAATCCATTAATATTAGAATTACAAACTAGTCTATCATTTTTTCTTTCTTTTTTCACCTTGGTTACTCGTTTTACTATGAAAATTTTACATAACTCATGCAATTTAAATTTTTTTCTTATGACAGAATACTGTAAAATAAAAACTTTTAAATTAACTACTTTAGAAAAAAAAACGAAATTTAAATTGTAAGAAATTGCATATTATTTGCTGAGGGTTAGTTGTCCATCACTTTCTTCACTTATATTCTGAAATTAGTTTTAGGCTAAAGTTAAAGGATACTTGAATATTAAAGTTTTTGTCAAAAGTTTATGAATGTGACATATCAGAAAAGATGGATTTGTTAATTCAGAATGAAGTTATGTATATTTGTCACATGCAAAGTTTTATTCATCTGTTTATGTTTTAGATATTGTTTCAATTTAAAAGAAAATATTTTTTAATAAAAATTATATGCTTTTAATAGAAATTTTTTCACACATAAGTTCTGATTTGAGGTCTTTTTTTAAATTTAGTAGTTATTAAATTAACTTCTTAATTTAAGGGGTTTTTTCGGCCTAATTAGTTACATTTAAGGTTGCTTTAAAAATAAAACAGATCTTATAAATATATTTATAATTATTGATTATAAATATATTTATAAGATCTGTTACAATTATCATTATTATTATTATTATCAGTTATGACTATTATTTATGATTAAAATGTATTTCATAGTTTATGTATGTTTAACACAATTAAAAACCTTTTTATATTGAGAATTAAATATTTATATTTTTGAACAGATAGAATTTATTACAAATTTAATGCATAAATCTATGTTTGTAAATTCTGCAATAATCTATGAATGTGGAAATTCTTAAAATTTTACTCAGTTATGACTATCAGTTGTTTTATAATCAGTTATGACTATTATTTATGATTAAAATATATTTCATAGTTTATGTATGTTTAGCACAATTAAAAATCTTTTTATATTGAGAATTAATTATTTATATTTTTGAACAGATAGAATTTATTACAAATTTATTCCATAAATCTATGTTTGTAAATTTTGCAATAATCTATGAATGCGGAAATTCTTAAAATTTTACTCACCCTTGCTTTGAATTTTCTAAATTTAGTATTGTTACAAAAATTAAATATGTTTTTAATGTATATTCATAGATCTTTTATTATCTAATTGATTATTGCACAAAGCTTTTTTTTTTTCAACCTTTATTTTTCCTTAAATTTAATTTTAATGTTAAACTTAAAAAAATTTTTGTCTTATAACTTAACTATTTTTTTTAAGTAACTTTTATCTGAAAACTTTAAAATTGATATTTAGACATTCTTACATACTTTAATTACATATTTATTAAAAAATACTGATTAATTTAAACAAAGTTAAGGTATGTTGTTTGTTATGAGATGGATATGTAAATCATCTTATATTAAAATTTAAAAAATTTTTAGACTGTTGCTTACACAATATGTTACAATTCTCCTGTGTTCAAAACACTACCACAATTTTATATTAATGCTTAAATTATCCATATGCATGTGCAAATATTACTTGAGAATAAGTTTTTTTTTTTCTTTTCAGTGATACATTACAGAATTGAACAACAGAGTATTGATGCTTGATTTTATATTTTAATCTAATTTCTGATATCCTATTTAAGTATGAGTTTAATTTGCATAAATAATATGGCATATGCTCACTAAATTGTTTCTTTACATCTTATTACAATTGTATTATAATCATTACTCTGGAAACCAGCACTGAAAAAAAGCCCAGGTAATTTTTAAAAAAAGCTCAACCCATGTGGATTTAGCTGGGTGTTATTTTTTGGGATGGTAGAAAGCGCAAATATATCGTGCATTTTAAAGATAGTGTAACAAATATTAAATAAAATAGCAATATATAGTGTAACAAATATAAAATAAAATAGCAATATATAGTGTAACAGTATACAGCAAATATATAGTGTTGCAGCATTGATATTGGAAGATATGTTAAACATAAAATTCATTTTAAAAATCACACATTCAGTATCGTATAATTTTTTATTGAAATCTAGACAAAACTTTTTCTTAATTTCAATTAATTACTTTCAATAGTGCATTAATTTCAACTCTGTGATGAAGATATTACACAACTGTATAAAGGGCCGTTCTTTCAGAAAAACACCCAATACCCTTTCCAATCCAGTAGCTCTTTTTTTTTATTTTAGTTTCGACTATTATCAGTAGACACAAACTATTATAACCTTAAACATTTACTTATCAGTCAGACTTGCAATGGGATAGCTGCAAGTGACGCAGTATGGGTATCTCGATCCAAATTGGTTGTTGAAACGTGGCATTTGTTTAGGTTAGCGACTGCTCTTTCCATTCTATTTCAAGTCAGCCTATCAAGTATCAATTCTCTTTAGTGACACATTCTTTATTCTTTCACATTTCAATTCTTTCTCTAAATATTTACACAAAGACAGACATCAAGCCATACAGAACAGAAAGAAACCAATTATGCATTGCAATTGCCATGCATACAAAAAAAAAATATATCACGGTTACAATAAAATAAATGAACATATAATAAATCCAAGTTAAGTAAAAGAAGTAAGCAAAAACGAATTCTATTTCAACAAATTCGGTGTGCAATACGTCACTGTATTTGGTAAACTTAACGTTGATTAACATTATAATTCAAACAACATTATAACATAACGTATCCAAATAATGGAGAAACTTAGCTCAACTTTTAACATGCCATTTCGTTGGTAAATGATCGGCTGGCGCTGACATCACATGTTTGGGTATTGGTGATCTTCTTGTAGTGCGAGTACCCAATTAGAAAAGTAACACAGAACTTAAATCAGCTATTGAACACATGTTTTCTGCATGTGGGCTTGTTAAGTTCAATATGAGTAACAGTTTTAGTCTCAAAGAAGCCAATGCTTGTTAAAGTTTATAGACATTTAAAGAGTGAATCTCAGAACCAGAGGAAGCTATAGCAGAACTAAACTAAATTTGGAACTAGAATTAAATTTTTATGATGCAATTTTTCTTTTTGTCGCGTGGCATGTGATACCTACCATACGGGCACAAAAACGCCGAACATATGAGATACGGAGCCGGCAGAGAAGAGGTTAAATCTATGATAGCATATTAATGCAAATTTTACCTGATGTCATAATTTGAAGTTAAGTATTTCAGATTTTGTATGAAAGGTTCTGAATTTTGTTAATTTTATGTAAATGGCATTATGGTTCCTTCTTTTTTTTAAATTAGCAGCAAAGAAAAGAATATCAAGTATTAAAAAAAAACTGTTAAGCGAAGTTTCATAACTTAGTCTTCCTTTTTATTTCATATAATTTAGAGTAGTACATGAAGTTGTCATTTTAATTTTGGTTTTGGCTCTTTCATGCTTGATGTTAAAAAACAAAAATACACTTTTAAATATTGTCCAGCTATCTTGTGATATTACTCCGACATATGTTTTAATGCTTCGAGTTTAATGGCAAATCAGTCTTAACACATCATATTCTTTTCTTTAAATAATCTTGTAAAGCTATTATTTCAATTACGTGCTTAAAATACTTAAAATTTTGGTTCTTTATTTTAATTGCAAGCATTTTGCCTCGGCTCCTAAATGCAACTCCAGAAAACCATTTAAAATTATTAAAACTCATTCTATCGAAGTTCCAGTTCTTTGAGAAACGCACAATATATTGTAATGTTTAGTTAAGTATCATTAATAGTTTCTTCCCTGCAGTGCAATCGCCGTCTCTTTACAGACTAGTGTATTTTTTAAGATTGCATTCCAACTACTGCTTCCTTCAATATTTACTATACACCACTAAGTAAATATTGTATCTTTACAATTTTCATTATTCCTTTCAAGGAATATATATGAATAAGAAATTCGTCTATTTACACTCTTTCAGTAAATAGAAACAGAAGAGAAATTGTGTCTTAAATTTTCATTATACCTTTAAAACTGGGGTTACCTGTCTATGGATATATTAATACAGTTGAGAACCGATTATCCGGAACGGTCGGGACCATCGCTATTCCGGATAACTGATTTTTCCGGTTTTCTGAATCGGTACTAAAAGCCGTTTTTTTTTATTGTTAAACCCAACTTAAAAAAAATTGGAAATAATATTAAAAAGAAGAAAAAACGATGAAGTAATACACTAATGATTATTTCCAAAATGATGGTAAGGTAAACATCTTTCAAAAAAGAAAGAAAAATCTTATGAGGAAAAAAAAAACATTTTTAAAAATGGCGGGAAAATTTATTGAGTTGTTAGTTTTCTGATTTCCGGATAACGGGTTCTGTACTGTATTTAATTTAGCTTCTTATATTTAAATTATGCCCTTCAATAAATATTAACAAAAGAGAAATCTCCTCGAATATTTTTATTATTACCTTTAAATTCCCAAACTATAAATCCATTAACCCCTTAACTTTCAAAATAATTGTTAAGTTAAAGTGGTTAATATTAAATTTAGCCCCTAATGTTTAATGTAAGCCCTTCACTAAATACTAAGGATGGTTGACTGAATGTAAACAATAAGCTTCCTTAAGCCGGAAGAAATTTAGAAAACTTCCGGTGTATTCTTCCGCTTATGTTATGCTTACGAGGAGATGTGTGAACAGGCTTAACTCCTTCCTTCTCGCTCCCGTGAAAATGACGGGGTGAGGTTTCGCCTTCTATTTCTCGCTCCGGGCTGGAGTGTTCAGTAGTAATGCGCCAATAAGAATATAACTAATTCATTTCTTTTCCCCGGAAAACATTTTGTTTCTCTTTTTACACACCAGATGGCAGTACCAGAATATTTTTAAGGTAATTGTAGATAGTTAATTTTAAACTAGATATCAGCACTAATCAAATACGTGTATTTGGCTAAATAAGCACTTTTATGACCATTTTCTTGAAAATTAACCGATCATTAAGGGGTTAATATTCTAGGAAGTTTTATGTATGGTGAAATTAAGCATAAATTTAAGCACAAATCACAATAACAGGAGTTTTCCATAATTTATAAATTCGAACAGGTCGCGAGCCTAATATAAATTTAACAAAATTAATATCACAGCATAAATAAAGTGTAACGTTATCCATGTTTTGAGTGTTATCCCTTATTTGGCTGTATTTGCGTAAAATATCTCCTTTTGTTATTTTTTGGGTAGCGCCATAGCAAATCTATGGAGTCTTCCGAATTCATTTGTTGTTTTTTTCGTTTAAAGGTAGATTGAAATAACGTGTTGTATTGAATACACTACGAGTATAATAATATAGGATGCTCGTTTTTTCACGCTTAGGCGTAAAAATCAGTCGGAAGTACTATCCCGGAAGTCTTACGACGAATTTTTTTATCTCTAGCGCCATCTGCGCTTAGCTTTACACGGTCAATCATCCAAAAGAATTAAAACTTCATTAAATATTTTCATCGTTCTTTTAAGGCCAGACTTTGCAAGTTTCTAACCTATGGATCACAACTCAAGCTTAGTTTGTGGGATTTGTGTAAAAGGGAATACTTGAGAAATAAAAATGTATATTTTTCTCTTTTTTTTTAAAA